CAAACTATATAAAGTCACATGCATGCATGGAAGTTGGTAGATGTGGCTATTAGTAAAGGCATATGGGAAGCCACTAGTCCAAGGATAATTTTATGTAAATCAGACAAAAATACCCCTTCCTCTGGGTGCTGCCCAACACCAGGATGCACAGCCTGGTGGGCAGTGCTTATGTTTTCAGTGACTGCTGACCCGCTTGGTTGAGGACTGCTGTGCAGTGCATAAGCTGCCTGGCCATGTGAGATGATCTAGTCATGTACAATGGTCAAGAATGATGTTAACTTACCCAATTTTGAATCCTATTCCTACAGCATATTAGTTGTGTGATATTAGGAATTCAATCAATTTCTCTTGGCCTAGATATTATTAAAAGAAGTAAATAATAGTATTAGAATGATTAAGTAGATTAAGTTATTTGACAAATCTAAGCCTTAGCACACAGTACCTGGTATAGGTATACAGGAATTGTAACAATCGTCTCATTATAGTCACGTAGACTCTGGGCTCATCTCTTCCCTTCATGACAACTAATAAGCCAGAAAGGTAGCTGGAAAGGAAAACTAATGGCAGAAGTGATGATAACATTATGTTAACAATAATTCCATACATGCTTGCTTTCATTTTGTTTGAACAAAACACACATTTATTATTTGCTGCCCACCATCACCTTTTGAGGTATTTTATTATTCCTATATTGTATCTGAAGAAATTAAGGATATGCTCCACATAGCAGTGAGGTCTTTGCCCAGGTCAGTTACAGAGCCTTGTGGAGCCCAGTTTTTCAGAGCTCGTGTCCACTGATATTGCTATTAGAAATATAAGCTGTCTTTCCTCCAAATGATTCACTCACATTGGGAGGAACTTTATAATGTAAGAAGCTTCTGTTATTTTACTTCTGCATTGCAAAAACCCTGTAGACTCTCCAAATTATGCTCTCTTGGTGTATGTTCTGGAGAATATATACATCCCAGAACCAGAGGGAGGGATGTGCTGAAGGATCTGTCTGCGTGCTCCTGTCTTTGAAGCAGGTTGCACATGGTTCTGGGAGGATGTAATGAGGTGATGTCAAACATTTCACTAAGGGCCTGCTACAGAAATGATGCTTAATAATATAGTCAATTCTCATCATTTGTGGTAGTTATGTTCTATAAAGTCACCATGAACATTCAATTAGGGAATATTTAATCATTGCTCCTATGGAAAATACAGGGTTAGGTTCCTGAGAGCTGCTAGTCACAAGGTTTTCTTCAACTGATCAATACATAACCATGTTTAATGTGTGTTTGTGTTTAGACACCTTCTATTTTTGATTCATTAACATTGAACTCATGGCCAACAGCACTGTAAGTCATGTCTGACTGAAGCACACCTAAAACATGTATTTTCTGCATAAGGCACATCCCAGACTTCTCATGCTTAGGGATACTAGGCAGCACTTCAGCACTATGCTTGGGAGACATTTTAAACAGCAAAATCGCCAACAAAAAGCACAAAGATACGAGAAATGTGGCAGTAAACAGACCGCACCAAGAACATGTGTCCACAGTATGAGAGTTAACAAAGAAGGTAGAGCAGTGCCTTGTTCAGCCTCATCTGAGGATATGCGTGTCGAATGACTCAAAGTTTTTGCCACTCTGCCCACGTTTGCAACTGATTTCGAAAATGCCGCAAGTATTGATTTTGGGGCTACAGATATATTTTAGCGCGTAGGCAAACGTGCAGATTATTAATGCATTCAGAATCCATGAATAATGAGAAAGAAGACTACAATTCTTTCCTTTCTACGTTTCCATACTAGCAACTATTGAAAATCAACCTTTGCTTCTCAATCTTATACTTGATCCCATTACGACTTTTCTGTCTATTTACTCAAAGGCTCTACAAAGAGCCTTGGTCATCCCAGTATTTTCATAAAGGAGGTGGAGGACTGGGAATAGACATGACATCCCTGAGATGCCCTTGGTAAGGGACTTTTGCTGGCAGCTATCTGTGGGCGCCTTCCTTTACAGTCATACAACCTTCCCACCCCCACCCCCACCTCACTTGGATACTCAGATATCGTTTAAAATTCCTCTCCTTTCCAGCAACAGAAGGCCTTTTTTCTTTTTTCTCTTCTCTGAACAGATTTCAGTGTTGAAAGAGGTGCATTCTTTCATCTGGTAAAAGTTTCCCGAGACCAAATATAAAAATTGTCCAGAATAGATTCTTTTGAACGAACATATGTCATCAAAGCGACAGAGAAGTTCTGTTCCTGTCGGTGTGCACATAGCTTTGGATTTCTCTGTATTTTTCATATTTGGGAGTGGGAACAGAACTTAGGGGAGCGCACCAGCCTGTGCTCTTGGCCTCCCTGGGATGCAGAGGACCCATAAGCCGCCTCAGGGCCTGGTCTCTGTCGTCCACAGAAGGCAGAGTGAACGTCCTTGTACGGTCTGTACTTCCTTTGTCACCATTAGTCACGCTTTTTCTGTAATCCACACAGGCCATCATGGCACAACTACCGCAGGAGGAGAAGGCAAAAATAGCTGAGCAGGTGGAGATATTCCACCAAGAGAAAAGCAAGCTGGATGCTGAAGTGGCCAAGTGGGACGACAGCGGCAATGATATCATTGTGCTGGCCAAGCAGATGTGTATGATCATGATGGAAATGACAGACTTCACAAGGTGAGGCCCAGAGCCAGGGAGATGAAGATTTTCTCATTAAGCCCAGAAGTATAGCAATGTGTGTTAGCATCTGAAAGCCAGATGAAAAATTAAAAGACATCAAATTAAGGTGGTATATTATAAATGTACATGTATAATTCAAAATGATCTGGACTTAATTCCTAGCAGATAGGTCTTTTTAGTTAAGGAGAATAAATTCATTTTTGTAAATATTATTGTTTTAATTGTCCTTAGTCATACAATCAGACCCCAGGGGATGGGTGACTCATCTTTGGTCTTTGCTACTTTGCAATGTGCTTAAATATTATCGTGAAGATAAAGTGAATGATTTGCTTATTTCCTTTTGGAAAAATATATGTCTGTGTGTGTATGCGCATGTATACATATAATATGTTGTAATACTAGCTCGTGATCTAGCATTAATATCAGCTCACATTTTACTCTTACATACTAAAAATAAGGTACAAAAATCTAAGATTTTATAGTTTTGACAGAGAAATTAAAAATCACGTAAGTTTTATTTTCTTTAGCTTTGATCTGGTACTTAAAATAAATCAGGAGACCAGTCAGAATTTTGTCAGAAGCCTTTTCCTCACCAAGGGTCATGGCTCTTTCTGCCATTGCATTTTGGTCTCATCTGTAAAGGAAGGTGACAACTCTGCCCTTCCTACCATGCATAGAGCAAAGGAGGAAGAGCACCGCTCAGTGGGAACATCTCTAAATTCTGAGTCAGAATATCAGCTGATATGAAACAAGCATCTTACTGTATTAGTTTATTTATTTGCAAAATGGTAAAATGACACTGGTCTTACCAACTTCATGGGAGAGTTTTAAAATCCAAAGAGATAGTACAAGTATAAATTATGCTGTCATAGAAATGTAAGCTATCATTTTACTTTAGTTTTTTTCTTTTTTTCTGGAAAACACAGACACACATAAACAAAGGTATTTTAATGATTCAGTATAGTATTTGTTCAAACTTTGTAAGATTTATGGGAATGTCATGATACCACCTTATGAATGATAAATTCTTTAATGGTTGTTGAATGGTCCTAATAAGAAGAGGCTATTGTTTCTATTTTATAATATGGAACATCTCTGCATCATCCCCTCTGCCTCTGGCCAATATGTACTAATGACTTTGCTTGGCCCCTTTTCCAAATATTTTTAAATTGTTTTTCACTTCAGTGGAATGACTTTAGTGTTATGAGGGAGACCTTTGAGGCTTTTAAATGTCTTTGTATTCATTAGAAGTTCAAATTTGTACAGTTGGTTAGTCTTAGTGGACTTCACAGATTTATTTCACAAAAAGTATTAGTAGGAAAAAATTCTGAGCCGTTATTTAAGTCTGAAATTTCCTACAAATCAGACTCTCGTGGCAGCCTCAGTCATTGCTTCTGAAGGCCTGTGATGACTTAATTTGCTTGCTTTCAACATGTTATCAATACTTTATCTGATGGATATTATGCAATCCATTAATAACCTCACTTGAACAAATAATGTCATTAATTTAAAGTGAATGATGAATCTAGTCATAGTTTAGATCAGGAGCACATTTTATAATTCTCTAGATTATATATAACTGTGGTCAAGGAAGAGAGATATATGTGAAGGGTCTTGTTAGATGATGTTAAATAAGACACACTTTCTATTAGTCCAAGTATAGTTTTAAAAGTGAAAAGAAAGCCACTGCAGTTTCCTAGGGGGTTTATATAATTATTTTATGCTGATTCAAATAATGAAATGCCTAGGATGCTACTCAGTATAATTTTTCCCACTGCCTGACGGGTAGTTTTGTGCCATTTTGTGAGGGCAAAGGGAAAAGTACATAATTAATTGTCAGAGAACCAGAGGAGGATGTGAGTTGGAAATGTAACACAGGAAGCCGAGGCTTTACTGCTGCCTCCGTCTGCAGAGCCTATTCCTTTGCAAAGAGACAGCTGACTAGTGCCTTTCCTTGTGGCTTCTCACCTAAGTTCACTACACTTGGCCTCATGCATACTTTTATTATTACCCTTACATTTTTCAGTTCAAGGGGGAATAATTTTAATGCCATACCTCTAAACATTCCAATGTACTATTTTCTCTTCTTTAAAGTAAAAAATATAGCTGATTAGGAATTGAAACTTGGATTCTCTTCTAATTTATGTGTTTAAAGGTATCTGAGTCCAAAAATACCCTTGCTTTTATTATCTTGTTTTATTCTTATCACTAGCTAATTCATTAATTTGATTCAGTAATCTCTATGATGGCCACTCCATTATTATTAAAATTGGAGAGGTTCTGCCTCATTATTCACGTAATAACTTCTTCATGGAGGATAAAACTGATTATGCCTCATGTTTTTTTCCTGCTCAGTTCTTGACTTCCATCTCATGGGCAATGGCAGAAGTACTGTCCTACACAGGGTGAATTTTTGCTTTTCATGGCACTTTTCAGAAAGACATAGCACGTTGCCAGTGTTGTGCCCCAATAACAAAAGGTGTGCAGAAAGAGGGCAACAGCTCCGGTTTAATTGTATAGCAAGAACAAAGCTGTCTTTGAAAATCAGCCTTAAGTTCTGGTCTTAAAAAAAGCAGAGTTGAGACTAAGGGGGACGAAAAAAAAAGACCTTTCAGGGTACAATCAATGGTAAAATCCTGAGCACTGTACTCAGAAATCAAGTAATCACCTTATACTCCCCAAACTTTGTTCCCGCCTTAGTTCAGATGCTCAGTACCTAGGCTCAGGTGGCTCTTAGCTGGGTTTTCAGTTCCAATTTTCTCCTCCTATCATCCATGCTACATCTGGCCAGTAAACGGCAACCATCCAGCTTCCTGTGCACCGAAGCATTCCTTAACTCATTTTTTCACAAAATAAAAAGCTTTGTGTTTGCTTCTCAAGGCCTACCTTTTTTGACCCTCAGCCTTCTTTCTCTATTTTGTACATATTTAAAATTTGACCTCCAGGCCACAATATAAATGGTACTTCCTGGAGTGGTTCAACTCTTGCTTGTGCTGTCCCACCTGACTCCTCCAAATTCCCCACATCCATTCACCTGTTCTGCTGCGCTGTCTTCATACTGACATAAGCTTCTGCTAATTGGTGACATTTCCTAAGCATATTTTGTGGGGCCCTAGTTCTGAAAAGAGGCTTCCGTGGTTCCATACATGTTCAAATATCCTTTTTCTATGCTCCATCTCGTTATTGGGAAGTTACGTTTGATATTGACAAGCTGAGGTATTAGGAAGGCTATAGAAAAGAAACCTTTGTAACTTGGATTAACTCAATTTGAATTTTGAGTACTGAGTATATTAGCTCAGAATATACTGACACATTGATTTTTCACATAATGCTTTTTACCTTTTCACAAAATAAATGTGAATTAGTTGGCAAATGCTAGATAGCAGTGATGCAGGAATAGTTTTCCTTTCTTTTTTGGAGTGACTACTTCCTGGGAAAGACTCCAAATATTGGCTGTTGCATAGGAATCACCTATGACCAAAAGAGAAAAGGTTACAAGAATCTATATAGTAGAGAAAATTCTAGAGCTTGATGTTCTTTCCAAGGAAACCAAAAACACAATCCGGATATGATGGCTCCTGTCATTAAAGACATAAGAATTCCCCAAAGAATCTTTTAAAACTTCCAAACTAAACTAAACTGGTCTAAGGTAGGAAAACATGAAGGGTGCAAAACACAGGGGTTCATTTGAAGACTGTGAGCTACAGCCATTTTGGCCAGTTTCCTTGGCAATGTTGCCTTCCGCTGATAGGAAGACTCAAACTCTGAGTTTTCTGACTCTTATATGGGCATGATATTGTTTTGTCATTGGCTATTTTTTTATTATTTCAGAATTTTATGGGAGTATAAATGTTTAGGTTACATATATTGCCATTTGCACTGCTTAAGTCAGAGCTACACGTGTGCCCATCCCCCAGACATTGCGCACCTCACCCAATAGATGTGATTATACCCAACCCTTCTTCCCCACTCCTACCCGCCTGACACCCGATGAATGTTACTTCTATATGTGCACATAAGTGTTGATCAATTAGTTCCAAGTTGATAGTGAGTATATATGGTGCTTGCTTTTCCATTCTTGTGACACTTCACTTAGTAGAATGGGCTCCAGCTCTATCCAGGATAATACAAGAGGTGCTAGTTCACTATTGATTTTTGTGTCTGAGTAGAACTCCACGCTATACATATACCACATTTGATCAATCCACTCATGTATCGATGGGCACTTGGGTTGTTTCCACATCTTTGCAATTGTGAATTGTGCTGCTATAAACATTTGAGTGCAGATGTCTTTTTTACACAATGTCTTTTTTTCATTTGGGTAGATACCCAGTAATGGGATTGCTGGGTCAAATGATAGTTTTACCTTTAGTTCTTGGAGGTATCTCCATATTACTTGCCATAGGCTGTTTCTTATTTCAGTGCCATTCACATCACCCAAGTGACTACAGCTCATTTAGACTTGTGCTGTCCAATAGTAGCCACTAGCCACATGTGAGTACTTAAAATGTCTTTTATTGTGGTATATATCATAAAGTTTACTATTTCAATCATTTTAAGTGAACAGTTCTGTGGTATTTCATATATTCATATTGTCATGCAACCATTATCACCATCCATCACGAGAATGTTTTCATTTTCCTCAACAGATACTCTGTACATACTGAACCCTAAGTCCCCATTAATCTCTCCCCACAGCCCCTGGAAACTCTCATCTACTTTCTGTCTCTGTGAATTTGACTACATCAGGTATACCATATAAGTTGAATCATATGATATTTGCTCTTTTGTGATTTGCTTATTTCACCTAGCATAATGTCTTCAAGGTTCATCCACATTATACCATGTATTAGAATGCTCTTTCTTTTTAAGGTTGAGTAATATTCCATTGTATATCTATGCCACATTTTGTTCATGCATCTCTTAGTGGATATTTGGATTGCTTCTACCTTTGGCTCTTGTGAATAATCGTGTACCATACATGGGTGTATAAATAT